AGCTACAACACCAGCCCATGACCAGTACATTCGGGTCTTGCACCTACGAGATCGCTTCCGGCCTTCTACCAAGACAGCCAGGGAGTTGAAGGAACGGAGACTGTGCGCCGACGCTTTAGACCTCAGTCGGTCACCTTGGATCAGCTACGTACAGCACTTACAAACATATAGAACAACATTCCACAGCTTCCCATACAAAGACTTGTGCGAAGCATGCGGCAGAGCTGCACAGAAGTCACCAATGCACAAGGCGGCTATACGCGGTATTAACTGTGACTTTTCATTTTAGGGCCTACAATTAAAAGATGAAATTTCAGGAAATAAAGTTAATTTAAAAAAATTGTTTTTTTGTGTAATTGATTTGTAAAATGTTCAAAATTTCCTTACAGAGAGATTGTTTCTGGTTAAAATCAGTCTTTCAATACAAAAAACACAAAAAAGGGGTGTCTGGGTTTTTTTTGTTGACGCCAAGTATATTGCAAAGGTCGGGAAGTAGGTCTTTCACTATGGATGTTGGTAACGCTGGCTCGACTCCAACCCCGAAAGCTGTTAGTCAAAGACAAACAATACATGTTTAAGCAAACACACACACTCCCTCACACACACACACACACACAATCACACACACACACACACACACACACACACACACACACACACACACACACACACAAACACACAGACACACATACTTTCTCCCTCTCTGTCTCTCTGTCTCTGTCTCTGTCTGTCTGTCTGTCTGTCTGTCTGTCTGTCTCCCTCTCTCTCTCTCTCTCTCTCTCTCTCTCTCTCTCTCTCTCTCTCTCTCTCTCTCTCTCTTACCCAAACACACACACACACACACACACACACACACACACACATATACAGATAGATTAGATAGATAGCTAGCTAGATAGATAGATAGATTTATACTGTCGTTGTCAAGGAGAAAAGTGGACGTCTTAGACAAGTGGCAGCCTTGTAATAGTGACTGTAAACGTAACATTCTGATATAAAAATACAATAACAAACAAACAAACAAACAAAAAACCCCAAACAAATGCAATATCTGAAGTGAAGTATCATTTTGTACAGGTGATTTCCCTTTATTGGTGGCCGTAGAAGTAAGGTCGACAGAGTAATATCGTAATAATATACATGTACGTATACATATTATATATGACAGCCAATTGCATTGTAGCACCTAACTGCGTGTCAACCCGCCAATTACATGGCTTGATAAATTTCGTGTACAATTCGAAATCGCACCACGTCGTTTACTTTTACTTACTTCCTCTCGAAAGTGCAAAGCGATGGTGAGTCGTACCAGTTGTTCCGTGTCATATTATTTTCATTGTTTTTTCTTTGCAAACATTGCAAACCACAAGTATAATAAATTATTACCGAATGCTTATGAAGAGAGAATAAAAATCGAATGGTTTATAGCTCTTGTCGGGTAGTTTCGTGTTTGGTATATTGTTTATGTTCATAATTTATCCAAAACCCTCTCTTTGATTCCAAACACGTTAACCAATTGAACATAATGCGCAACATAAATCACTTTAAATTCAATGGAAAGAAGAAATTTTAATTAACAGGACATGACTCACTGCAGTTCTAAAACACCTCGATAAAACAGCATTACAACAACATAACTGAACACTTTCAACTGGGTAGAAGAAATCTGCATTTAAAAAAATTCTGTGTGACTTGACAACATCAAACGACATAATTATACAACGAAGAAATTGAATGAAGAACAAAATTATCTACTTTGTTTGAGGATGAAAGACAATAGAAAAACTGAATAAGAAATAAAAAAAAGAAAATCAGCTCCAGAGAGAGAGAGGGGGAGGGAGAGAGAGAGAGAGAGAGAGAGAGAGAGAGAGAGAGAGAGAGAGAGAAGAAAAAGAAGAAGAATGAAAGTTATACCCGTTCATTAATTTAACTTTTTGACTCTTTTTTCTGTTTCTTTGTTATTTGAATCTTTCAACGTTTCACTGTTTCAGAGGACGTCGTTACTCCTGTTTTCTGAGATAGATCTCTGCATGATATAAGTGCATCTCATCACTTTGTAGTTGAAGTCACGGCCACGATGTCGTTTCTCTCGGCGTCTTTCCTGCAGGATGATGAACGTTTATCAATACTTTTCTGAAACACTTTAAGAGTTATTTCAACCACAATTCCATCGAATTCTAATTCTCCTGTCTCGTCAATAACAATACTTTCCACACCAAAATGTACTTGATCCCGAGATTCTAATTAAGTGTTCATGATTCAATAGTGCGTGGTCGTGCATAACTATACTAAGCAAACTCAGACTCGAAATTGGCCAAAAAGTGTTTTCCTCAAAGCCAAGGTAGGCCTACCATGAAACTTGCGAAGGTGCCTCACGGTGCATGTCATTCAGCCACTTACTTCGAGCATATACATTTTCTTCGAAATTGGCAGCCTGATGCTTTTCTGGCTTTCTGCCACGGAATTGACTACTTGCTACGTTATTAGATCCTACGTATATATAACAAATATTAATATGTATATATATATAGATATGTAATAAAATCAATGTAAATAAGTGTTTCCATGTGTGTACGTATGTTTGTTTGCATGCCGGTATGTTTATGTGTATATCAGTGTATACCAGTAAGACCAAGTACTTATGACTGTAACTCTGAGTCGTTCGTTCTGACACTCTCTCTTTCTCTGTCTCTCTATCTCTCTTTTTCTATACTCTCTCATTCTTTCTCTATCTATCTATCTACCCATCTATCTATCTATCTATCTATCTATCTATCTATCTATCTATCTATCTATCTATC